ACTTGTACATTACGTTTGGATATCAATATAGTCCCTCCCAAAATGATACATCAACGCGGTTTTCTTTATTAAATGTGTTGCATCATAAGTATGCCACCTTTTATTCTACTTTTAATCATCTTAAGTAATTCTTGCATCTTATTTTCTGTGATTATATACACCTACTGTGAAAAAAATATCCTGTGAATGCCAAGCCTCTGAAACTAGTAAGCATATTTTGTTCTTTCATTTATAAAACTCATGTTTAGAAATCCTTACCCTAATTCGAACTTATAATATTTTAATTATACAATGTAATTGTATTTTTTCATATTAAAATAAGCTTCTTTGGTTTCATCTTGTTCCTTTCTGGTTCATAGGACCACGCATAAAATAAGCTTACGAGTTTAATGGGTTATCCTTTTAACCATTTCACTATATTAAAAATGATTAGAAAAAAAAAGGAAAACAATGCCCTATATGTAGAAGATAGGTTCTTACTTGGCATTAAACCCGTAGATATTTATCATTAGGTCTGTGATATTTATGGGATTGGTCAAATATCTCATATGCCTATTCGTAGTTGGATTGCTAAATTTAAAACAGGTTAATTACGAACACTTCAAACCTGCAACAGTTACAACCAATAATAGTATCGTAAAAGTCTACCAAATCTTACAGAAAGACGCAAACTATACCGTGAGGCAATTTGCTCGGATGAGAAACTTGTCTTTAACACATGTTGAAAAAGAAATCCAATTATCTCAAAACGAGAAGCAAACTCCAGAAAATAATGTACCAATTTAGAATATTTATTGATATATGTATAACACTTAAGTAAACTAAACTCAATATTACTTATTAACGGATCAATACTAGATCTAACTTAATAGAACTCAATCCATAATAAACAAACAGAGCTTACATTCATCAGACTATAAACTCAATAGCAAATATAAACAAATTGCCCTAGGTGACATAAATCACATAAAACAGAAAATGACATACAGTCATATACATGTACAATGTTCCTAAACAAAAAACCCACAAAATTAAGGGGCAGGCGGGTGTGGCAAAATTAAACATTTTCCATGAAAAACGTGTCATATACAAACTGCACAAAAAAGCTAGTAGAACGACTAATTTATAATAACCGCGGATGAATACAACAGATCAAAACAAATCGCTAATTTTGAAAGAGAGATCACCAACTAAAATAGATTGATCTTAACTATATAAACCAGGTAATAGACGTAATAATAAAAAAACCCTGTCAATATCGATACATATGTACTTAAAAGATTTTATGTTTAACAATAAGTACTTCTACGCTAGGTGGATACCTTATTTGCTTACAGATAAACAAAAGAGAGTCCGTTTGAAAATACAAAGGAATAATTAAATTTGTATCCAAATTATACCAAAAGTACTTTTGTTAGAATGAGTCCTGGGTATACTTTTTTAAGCCAAAACGCTAGAGTTCTATCAGAATCTTGACATCAAAGAATGCAAAACATCCCAGTACGAATGGCTAAAAGATCACGAACCGTGAGGAAGGTTATATATGTTATTTTCTTTGACAATAAAGGTTTTATCATACAAATTCCTGTGCCAAAGGGCAAAACAGTCACAGGCAACTCCTATAAAAATGTTGTTATTAAATTACTGAAGAAATGTTACGAAAGTCGTCGCCCCAAAGCGAGTATGCAGTATCTACGACTTTTGCACGACAATGCGTCTGCACACAAAGCACGAATTGTGACTAAGCATTTGGAGGCGAAAAGGGTAACTGTAACTGTAACCCTTTTTCTCCAGATTTAACCCCGTGCGACTTCTTTCTGTTCCCCAAATTTTCATTCAACTTATCTAGAAAAAGATACACATCACGAAATGCCCTTCTGTCTTCCATTTATCAGTATTCGAGTATATGATGGGTGTCCCAATTGAGGAGTATGAAAGATAGTCAAAGAAGTGGATTGTTCGCCTATCCAGGCCAAGGGAAGGGACGAGTGAAAGGATCAAAGATTAATAAATGTGTGTGAATACAGCCCCAAGTGTCACTTTTATTTTTAAACATTCCTTGTATTTAATATAATCTTTTAACTAAATAAATATTGGTATTTTAGTAATCATGTTTCAAAATATCTTAACATCTCCGTTAACTTTATAGACAGCAATATAAATACGTTAGTTTTAAGCAAATTTTTGCGCTCCTACAGTTATTATTTTTCTGGCTTGTAGTCATAATCTTATCTATGACTGTAAATAGCTTATGCCTTAACTTATTCCATAGTCCATACTTTAATTTATTTATAAACAGGTTTCCTAGCAGTTTTCGGCCCAAGCAGTTTTCTGGCCCTTCATCATTTTCGCCCAGTACAGTATATTTTTACTGTTAAAGCATATGTGTTAATTCATCAGATCAAAGAGACAGTTGTTTTCTTGGCAACACAGGAGTTATGATAGTACATCGATCGGTTTATATGTCTTGAAGTTTTGCTAGGAAACCAGTAATTTTTACGAAATATTATTTTAATTTTTTAAGCTGTTATTTGTTAGTATGCATATTAAAATGTATTTAAATGTAACTGTGATAGAAAGATAGAACAATTTTTTTTAAAAAAAGACTGAAAAGAACATACAACTGATAATGCCATTAAATTATAAAGGAAATCTCAAAAACAAAAAAAGGCATTAAAGGGAGGCACAGAGAAAATTTTAATTTCTTCGTTTTGAATTTTTCATTCATTATTAGACTGTGAATGTCCTCAAAATTAAGACACAAGACTGTCACATGGACAAAAAAAATCTCCAAAAAATAAAATTGTGGTTTCCCAACTTGACCCAAGTGGGTAAGGTTAATTAGAGCGTTAAGATTTCACAAAAGTTGTCACAGTGAACTCTATAAACGTTGCCAAATGAATGACTTACACTTGTTTCAATCATACAATATCCACAATATCTTTTATTGTAACTTCCTGACCACGTGTTCACGAAGAAAAGATCATGATCAGTATCAACTGATCCTGACTTTATTTTCATTGTTTTATAAAAATAAAACTGATCGTATTATGCTAGAATTAAATGGTACATACTCGAAATGTGAATAATTGCTTATTTGCAGAGAAACCAACCTATTTTCGGATAAAAACAACAAATAACGAAACAAATACAAAAATAATCGGGTCAAAATGAGGACCAATTTTAGGATCAAAATCAAAATTTGGATCAACTGTAAAATGCCCGTATCTTGTAAAATAAAAATAAATTTATTCTAAAATTTCAGAAACATGCTATTTCAAGTCCAATTTTATCAAGTTGATATTGAATATTTAATCTATGAGGATAAATAATGGAGAATGTTTAGGTTTTTAAATTTCTTCTTCTTCTTCTTCCAATATACTGGCCACCTTCAACTAACTGAAGTTTACTGCCAGGTTAATGCGCAAGACGGAAAGAAAGAGTAAAAATAGTGAGGAATATATACAGTGCAGGTTAAAAACGGACAAGAGTGTGGTTTAGATATAGAGTTGGGACAGATGAGTACGGAATGACTCAACTGTACCGGCTGACGTAGTGTCTGGAGGTAGGCTGTTCCAGTCTTGATGGTACGTGGGAAGAAGGATTGTTGACGGTATTGTGTACGGCAGTAGGGTATCTTGTAGGTTAGGTTGTGTGAATTTCTTGTAGATGTGGAGTTGGAGGGTATTAGTTGTGAATTGTCTAGAGCGACCTTGTTGTTGATGACTTTGTAGAGCATGATCAGTCTGGCCTCCTTTCGACGTTCTTGTAATGATTTCCATTCAAGGTCTGCAAGTATGTCTGTGACGCTGGACCTGTTGTGGTACTTGTTTTTAACGTACCGTGCAGCACGTCGTTGGACCATGTCTAGACGGTGTATGTCTCCCTTCTCGTGGGGGTTCCCAGACAGTGCTCGCATACTCTACTGTGGGGCGGACTAGAGCTTTGTAGGCTGTTTCTTTGGTGGAAGTAGAGGCGATGTTGAGGTTTCTTCGCAGGAAGCTGGTGGTACGGTTGGCTTTGTTACAAATGTTATGTATATGTTGGCCCCAGTCTAGGTTGTTATTCAGGGTGCATCCAATGTATTTAGCTGATGTGACGTGTTCTAGAGTATGACCATAAAGAGTGTAGTTATGGCAGATGGGGCTACTTTTCTTGGAGATGGTAAGGACTTGGCATTTGTCTGGATGGAACGACATTTTCCATTTCTCTTCCCAGACAGCTAGTTTGTCGAGGTCAGCTTGTAGGGTGGAACAGTCAGACTTGTTTGTGATGGCAAGATAGGCCAGCGTATCATCTGCAAATAGTCGGACGACTGCGTTGAGGCCCTCTGAGATGTCATTTATGTAGAAAAGGAACAGACTCGGGCCAAGGACTGAGCCCTGTGGGACGCCGGATTCTACAGATACTGTTTCTGAGATTACCCCTTCCAAGACTACAGATTGGGATCGGTTGCTTAAGAAAGCCTGAATCCACAGGTTGGTTTTGCCTCTGATGCCGTAGTGCTCCAGTTTGTGGGATAAAAGGCTGTGACATACTTTGTCGAAGGCCTTGGCGAAGTCCATGATGAGAACATCAGTCTGTTTGCCATTTTCCATGTTCCGGGTTATGTCATCTGTGAATTCAAGAAGCTGTGTTTCACAGGATCTGCCCTTTCTGAAGCCGTGTTGGAGAGGATAGAGAATCGTCTGTTTTTCGGCATGATTCATGATGTGGCTGGTGACAATGTGTTCTAGGAGCTTGCAGCAGATGCACGTTAGGGAGATAGGGCGACAGTTTTCTGGTTTATATCTGCTGCCTTTCTTGTAGACTGGGGATACATTGGCTTTCTTCCAGTCATTAGGGATGGTGCTATTTTCAAGTGACAGAGTGGTGATGGTGTTGATTATTGGAGCGATGTCAGTTGCCAATTCCTTGAGGATGCGAGGACTTATGGTGTCAGGTCCTGCAGCTTTATGTGGGTTCAGTGTGAGAAGGAGTTTGGTGATTCCGTTTGTGGTCTATATTTCAGATATTTCAGGGGCTACAGGATGTGTTGATTGTGGATTGACGTAGTCCCCCTTTTTGGAGTCATCAGCAGTGATCTTGATGTTGTCTGTGAATACAGATTTGAACTGTCGATTTAGAATGTTAGCTTTGGACTTAGGATCGGAGTGGAGTTGTCCATGTTCTTTTAGTCCAGTAATTGTTTGATTGTCTTTCTTCTTGTGTTTTATGAAGGTCCAGAAACGTTTCTGACTGCTGTGTATGTTTGGATCTGAAGGCTGCGGTGTTACAATATTGTCGACATATGTCCAGTAGGCTTGTCGGAGTTTCTTCTGCACTAAGTGTTTGCAGTTCTTGTAATTTCTTTGATGTTGTTTGTCTTGAGATTTTTTCATTTTCTTATGGAGACGGTCACGTTTTCGTATAAGTCTTTTGATGCTTTTGTCAATCCATGGTGATGTTTCTCTTGGCCTAGCAGTTTTGTGGGGAATATGTTGTTGTATACTTGTTTTCAATGTAGTTGTAAATTTGTCCCAGATAGTGTTGATGTCGGTGTTGTTTTCCGCCATTGACTTGATTGTTTGGTGGAGTGTTGCCATGTCTTCCTTCATGCTATCCCATCTAGCCTTCTTGTACAGTGGGATCTTCCGGGGCGTTTGGGTATGGGTGACAGGGCTGAGGTCAAGCTCAACGAAGACAGTGTCATGGTCAGATATGCCGGGCATTGTAGTTATTTGCTGTACTTTGCTGGGGAGATTTGTTATTACAATGTCAAGAGTGTTGTTATTTCTTGTTGTATCTTCAACAATTTGGATAAATCCATTGTCATCTAGGCAGTCTGAGAACTGATAATGGAGGCGTGCATGGGCTGTGCCTGCTTTCAGTGTTTTTGATTTCCAGTCCCAGCCTGGGAGGTTAAAGTCTCCCGCAATGAGTAGAACAGAGTCTTTAATTGATGTTGCACGGCTAACAGATTCTTGGAAATGGAGTAGGTTGTGTTCATCTGATGTTTTAGGATGGTAGGATGAGCAAATAAGCAATGATTTGGCTCCAACAATGTTGACCTTGGCCCAGACTATCTCACAGTCTGTTTGGAGTTCTGGGATGTCTGTGCTGAGTATTGAATCTTTGACTGCGATGAGTACTCCACCGCCTGTGCCTGTCTTGCGATCATTTCGCCAAAGTTTGAAGTTGTCTGGGAAAACTTGGTTGTCGGTGATAGAGGGGTCCAGCCATGTTTCTGTGGCGATGATGATATCTGGTTTAGTGCTCTCTATGAGGTTTTCTATTCTGTCTTGTTTTTTCTTTATGGACTGGCAGTTGACATTCAGGATTCTAAGTGGTAGCTTTCTTGGTGGTTTCTTCTTTGGGTTTGCACTTCTTTCTGGAGTTGATGAGTGAAGAGGTTTTAACTGTGTCTTAGGGCTCTGTAGACTTGTGCTTGAGAGCGATAGTAATTCAAATGGATTAGACGTTGATAGCCATCCTTGATCCTGATCTTGATGAACACATGATTTGTTTTAAAACCACTCGGTGATTCTGTCGGCGTCTAAATTTTGTTCAACATACATAGATATATTCGCGCTTCAAATCCAAAATATATAGAAATTATACAAAATATCATGCTGGGACTTTAAAAATGTCATTTTAGCGTGATTTGCGTTCATAAAATCATTTCAATATTTTTGTCATTAATTTGCCCGAGTTTCCCTTTAAAATGACTTTTTAGCATGTTTCCGAATTTTGTCACTTATTTTTCGCATAGCATTAATAAATACATAATTGAAACATACCTCCAGTATATTTAGTAGTAAAAATATAATAATTTAGTAGCTTCATAGCTGGATTTTTTTTCAAATTTACGAATTCACGTTATTACGGTTCACAGGAAACAAATTTCACGCATGCGTGAGCACTATCACAACGTCTGAAAATTTTGCAGAACAATAACAAAAGTGTACTTTCGCTAAATGCAAAATCAGAGAACATTGCATCATTGTTGAAAACATTCAAGCTAACTCAGTCATTCAATTTATCATTTCACTGTATAATTTACAAAATCAAACATCGACTTATTGTTTAAATCGAACCGGCATTTTATGACAAATTCTGCAAAAATGTAACCTTCTCCCACTCAATTTTATTGTCCTCAATAAGATCTCGTTTTAATTTGTGCATCGTTGTCTTGCAAATGGCAGGAAGGACACAACAGCCCCTTTTGTCATCACTGAGACGTAGAAAACGGACACAACCACCAGTATTCAACGGCGTATCTGGATCATATGAGGACAAAGACAATGATTTTTTGTGGTATTCTTTAGATTTTATGTAAACCATAGAATTTGTGCATGTAGTCAATCTTATAATAAAAATATGCAAAGTATTAGCTATATTGATAGTTGAGTAAAAAGGCAGAATGCAAATTTGAAAAGATTTGGGGATGGTCTATGTCCCTAGTTACTGCCATTGATCATTCATTGTCAACTTGTGATGACTTTTAACATTGGAGTGTGGTTGCTGATCTATGTCAAGCATGTGAGTTCTTAAAGTAATCAAGTCTACAAAAATGTAAACAGCCATAGAAGCTTGAGAGGAATGAATCTGACTCTATGATTGCATTGTTGTTTTGCAGCTTGAAAGCTACACCGTTTGTGCCATGGCTCAATGCATGATCATACATAACTTCACATAAATTTGTTTAATAATAATTTGCAATTAATTCTGGATGTCAATTTGAATGGGATTCCGACAGGGACATTGGATTCTTTTATGTGAGGAAGCTATCCAGCTGAGCTAGCTTACGGAACGTCGGTGGTTCTACTCAGGTGCCCATTCCTGCCTGAAATAATGCACGGAAGGCCACCTGAGGTCTCCCTCCACCAGTAAAGCTGGAACGTCGCAATATGACCTATACTGTGACGATGTGACGTAAAACCAAAAAAACAAAAACAAATAATTTGAATGGGAACCACAATGAGGAAGGAAACCAGAAAAACTGTTTCCCAGCGTGCTTTTTGTAAACAATAGTGCAGGTAGCCTGCCTGTACTAATTCTGGTATGCTTCAAATATAATAGGACAGGGAACCAAAATCACCCCTGATGAAGAGCAGGCAAACTTTTTACCCATAATTTTTCTGTACTTCCGGCGAATGTTTCAGAACTTGGAGATACTTGCATCACCGTAATGCTTTACATTGTAGAGCATGCTATTTATAGGTTATAGGTCTAATGGAACTGATCATTCATTTAGCTTCCATTGTCTATCTACAAACATAATATTTTATTCCATCTGAAAGAGTAATCAATTTATTGTCCATTGACACTTGACAGTTATGTGTAAAATGAAATGTTGTGTCATGCTCTAATATGAAGTTGTAAGACAAAGTCTATTACATATATAGCAGTGTTTTTTTCACCAAAATATTCGGCGAAATTCTCCCCATTCCCCCCTCAAAATAGTATGTTTTTTTCCCCCCTCAAAGCTGAAATTTCCCCCTATAATATGGCAGCCCAAATTTGCCTGCAATGAATATCATTTTTTTGCAACTAACTGCCGAAAAATGCTTTATTTTATGCCTGTAAGACTTACTGTTAAGCAAGGTTTTTCATATAGGTAAGGGGAGCTACTCCTGGTATCCAAACAAGTTTATCATGTGACAAATCAATATTTTAGATCTGTATAAAAATCCCCCTCCTATTGCATTTTTCCCCCTCCAATGGGCACCGACCCCCTTCCCCCAAAAGTGAAAAAAACGCTGTATAGATTTTTGTCTGAAAATAGAGTTTAAATTGTGTCAGAATATTATTTTCAAGTTATATTGAATATTTCTCTTCTCTTTCAGCCCAATATGTTTTGATTTGATTGATGAAGCTCATATGACCAAGTGTGGACATACATTTTGGTAGGAAAAGTAAATCTTAGAATATCTGAGAATAGGAAACTTATTAAGTTAATAAATAGTTAATAACTATTTACAAATAAATCATAAATGTTCTTTTTTATTCATTGTAAGAAACGCTTTTTAATATTTGCATTATTTTACATACAGTTGAAAGTTATTTATAAACCAGTCATGTTTGGTTCTTCAGGGTTCCCTCTGGGTCAGTTTTGATTTTTTTTAGTTTGCGCTACCAAATTTTCCAGTTAGAAAAAGTATGCTCCAATGGCTCCAAAGTTGGAGCCAGTTTTTGTTCAAGAAGGCAAGTCTTTCTTGTTAAGATAAAGCAGTCATTTCACTGTATTTAGTACTGTTTACAAACACATCTTTATAATATTTATAACAGCTTTTTATTATCTAAAATAGAGATAAAGGGGTGCATTTCAAATTCACTTTAAGGAACTCCACTGCATACATGTGAACTGTTTTCGATGATCAAGTAGGAGATTTTTCTTCAAAAAGAGGGAGATTTTAGAATTTGCAATAAACAAAGAAGGAAGTTCTGACATCAAAAATAGGGAGATTTCTTTAATTTGTGAAAATACCCCTTATTTTAAGAAAAATCTTTGAAAATATGGCTGCAGAAAGTGGGAGTCTCCCGCTAAAAGTGGGAGAGTTCACATGTATGCCACTGATGTTTGATAGCCTAAAATGATAAAATTTGAAAATCTTTTATAAATCAACTTGTGCACTTAAAATGGAAAAGTGAGCAATAGATATAATATATGAATGTACTGCAAATTATATTGATTATCAATTTTTAACCTTTTACCCCATGAGCATATTGCGAAAAATGGCCGTTTTCATTGAAAAGCCTCCTGTAACAAGTTCAAACTACTATGAAAAATGCTTCAATACTGATGTAACTTGGCACAAATGTTGACTAGACCATAGCCTCTGTAACAGCATGCTCAATCATAAATTTCCTGTTACCATGGCAACGGGGGGACGTCTCAAAATTGCCAAAAATCACTATTTTGCATTGTTTTTTTTTCCATCAAAACTGATTTCAAAGTGCTGCAACTTCTCAATGAATTGAGATAGAGTAAAAGGCTTTTCAGCGCCGGTTACTAGTTACCCTAAGATCGACCTGAGGCCAATTTAAGCCTGTCACATGTCCAAAATTTTCTTGGCGAATTTTTCATGTAACATTTGGATGGGGAACGGCGCCAAAAAAGTGGTCAGTTTTTTTAACAACATTTCTCAAACGAAAAACAAAGTTTGGGGCCTATATAGGGCATTTTTTCACTGTTTGAGGCCTCTAAGGGGGGGGGGTGCAAAAAGCCGTCAAAACACGCTTATATAAGGGAAAAGGTTAATGCAATTTTGCAACGAATTTCATCTGGGGTTAATTTGCACAATAAAATTGATTATTATCAACAATATATATCATTATAAGTCAATGGTGAGGTCCCTTTTCACCAAGAAATACACATTAGCCATAGTAGTTCTTGGAGCAGTTTTCATTCTGAGCCAAGAGTTTTCCAGCATCCACTGCATTCTGGTGATCTACAGATTAGATTTTAAGTGCTTTCTTAACATTTAAAAATATATTTTACTCGGATTAAAGAGGTAAACTGCTCAAATTAACACATTGTCATTTGCATATCAACCTGTTCAACCTGTTTTTGTTACAGTTACAAGTGTATAAAGACAAGCCTGGAGACAGCAAACAGGTGTCCAAAATGTAACTTTGTCATAGAGAGTCCAGACTTTATTTTCCCCAATTTCATGTGTAAGTGCTATTTTATGAATATTGTCCAATGTGAGAACAAGAGGTGCATTTTCTTTAATTTCTTAACACAAGCATGGAGTTTCATTTGTACACATCATTTATACCGAATATACTTGTACATAATGGTCAGTCTGCACTTCTTTAAGCAGGGTTTGCAAATTTGCTGGAAAACTTGTCAGACATTTGGCCGGGCCAGTCTTATGTTTTTATCCAACCAAAAGGGAATCTAGTGTGAAATGAGTTCTTCTCATATGTTAAAAAACATCTAGTTTCTTTCTAAAATTGCTCAATCATTTTATACATTGGATTAGTCATTCCCTCAGATAGTTGTAAAAATTTCTGGTTAAATTATTATTTTTTGCAAGTTCTGTTCCCATAACTACTGAAAATTTTACAGGAATCTTCACACATTGGGATTCTTAGTCTATTAATATTTATGTTGACTTTTATTACTACAGTAAATGAGCTGATACTTAAGTACAGAAGTCGACAAGATGAGAAAAGAATCAGACTTGATCAACAGGTTAGTGAACAATTGTTCTACTGTAAATATTGGTATATTTTATAATAGCTGGTTGTTGTTCTAGTAGTGCCTTACACATTTATAATAATGGGTTATTATAATTTTTCTTGGAAACTTATTAAATATATCATGAAAATTAATTTGTTGTGAATGTTGTGAACATTTATCAATGAAAAAAACTAAGCATTTCATCAAGCTTAATTATATCTTGCTGAAGACGTTGATAAGTCCTATATGCAATGCTTCTTTCTTCATCATACAACAGAACAAAAATGCAAGACATAATGGATTGTTAATGCATTTACTGTTATTATTGAGTAATGTAGATGTTGAAATTATACATAATGTCACCCTAGTGCAGTAGTGGATAAACTCCTATTAAATTGAATGTGGAGTTAATCCGTTACTGCAATAAGCTGATAATAGTAATGTTACGAAATAGAATCAACCTTGGGACAAAGATAACATAAATAAATAAAGTTAACAAATAGAAGGTCTAATGCTCTTTTAAGATGTCCTTTCTTATCAGAAACAGTGTGTTATGTCAGTGATTTTTTCCCCTGTATTTTACAGTCGTATAAAGGCTGTTTCCCCTAGCCAAAAATAGGTATATCTTCCCCTAAAAATGCTAAACCAGAACCATGACTCGACAGCATCTGCCTTGTATCAGCTAGAAGACAGAAAGCTGTCCCTTTAGAATGATAGCCTCTGCTTTGTACCATGCATGTTAAATTGAATTGAAATTGATTTTTTTTTTAAATGTGTGGGTTAATTCAATTCTCAGTTGTTGTATTTATAACACTATATTTTCCCCTTTAGAAAACCACAAGTTGTTTTGAAAACTAAAGAAAAAAGTCACTGTATGTGCATTTTAAGTTTTTATCCACCAGTGAAGCTAGAAAGACACCATATAACTGTAACATTGTGTCACTGACTTATCCATAACATTCCCTATTCCTCTCCTAAAAAGAAACAGCTATAATAAAAGAATTAATAGAAAAAAAATTATGTCAAGTTATAAATCACTGTGTTGTAGAATGTACCGGGATCATTAGATCTTGCTGAACTGGTTATGGAGGAGAATATGGACTTGGCGAATGTAAACACTCTCTTGGAATTGCTACATTCAAAGAAACAACAATTAGAAGATGTAAGTGTATGGTTTTGTTATCTCTTTTATTCATTAAAACATACATTTTATTTATTGCTTTTATCCTATAAGCCTTTAAAGATCCTGTATGTTTTGTGATTGATATTGTTACTGTATGTATCATACACTTGCAAAATATTATATATGTATATAATTATGCAAATAAAACAATTTTCAAACATCCAAGAATATGTAAAATGTGTACTGCAAATATTTGTGCACATTATATTTAATCAATAAGTTACATGCATTTATTTCTTATTGGAAAATTTGACTTGGAATTTATAGAAAATAAATTTCTAATTACCTCCCTTTATTTACGCAAAATGTTAAATTGGGTAATATCTTTATAAATAATGCTTATTTGAACTTACAAGATTGACAAATCTTAATTTGAGCATCATATTTATGAAATAAAACCATGAAAAAAATGTGTTACAGGATCTTTAAGAGTATTTATTCCTCATATTCATTTATAAAAAATTAAGGGGAAAAAATATTTACATTTCTATGTAACTGTTTGTAGGATGGTAGGTTGGCACAGAATACTGTACTGAAGGAGTTCCTTGTTCAAGTACGAGAAAGAAAACAAGAGGTAAATGATGCTGAGTTACTAAATAATATACTGTCTGACCGCCTCCGTGATCGAGGGGTTAGAGTCGATGACTTCTAATCCAGTTACCTCTCTGGCGTGGGTTCGATCCCCGGGAGATGCTTTGGTAGTTTAGCACGGAGAAAGGTAGTCTAGTACTGGGGAACTCTCCAGGAACGATGGTTAGGAAACTACCCGTCTATATGACTGAAATACTGTTGGTAAAAGGCGTAAAATGAAACAAACAAACAAAATAATGTCAGCATAGTTAGTGCATTGAATTATACAGTGAGTTCAGAGATTTGTTAAATCTTGACCATCAACATTTGTAATCAAAGTATAAAACCTGAAAATGCTAAATTTATAGTGTTTTTACTTTTCATTGATTCAAGTCCAATTCATCTTGACAATATTTGTAGAGCTACCAGTTCATATTTTATATATATTTTCTCAAATTTAGTCAAGAAAGAGTCAAAAGAATACTTAAAAACTGTGTGTAGTAAAATCATATTGAGTTTCCTTCTTAAATGGTTTTTGATCTTGTTTGCACATATACAATACTAATTGACTAATTTTGTGAGCCACAATAGCTTATGATAGAAAGCTTTTTAACATAATTATTGATCAAAGAATGGATCACATGTTGTAAGTATAAAGAACACAAATTGTTGTGAATCAAATTATAAAAATGTGTTACATAAAATGTTATTGTTATATGGTTCGTGTTATTTTTTTCAGCAATTAGACCAGTTATCAAGAGAAATCTCTATTATAGATGAAGATGTTAGAACAATAGAGGTAAACTTTTATTGCATTATATTAGGATATAATTTAAGGTTAATTTAGAGCTGATATGGTAAGAAAGAATGTCAATGTATTGTTGATATTTATCTGTTGGTCAATAATTGATACAAATAAAAAAATTGATAATTTTGGCCAATTTTTGAAATGTCTAGAAATGATAAAATGATATCAATTTCTGTTTTGTTGATGTGTGTCAGCTGATATTGATATATTTTCAATATGCACCAGATCCTAAATATCAATGCGGAGCAGAAGTTGAGTTGTGGGTAACCTTTTTGTTGACTTCAGTAAGTTTAATTAAGTACACACATGTACTCTACAACTGTAATTTTAGATGAGATATTTGGAGAAGTTGGCAGATTGCTTAAACAAGATAATATTAGTTCAGAATCCACAAAAATGTTATTGGTGCTAAACATAACAAACTTGAATAGAAACATATCTGTATTTTTGAAACATGCTTGAGTTATAAGTTACCACTTTTTTGTTAAAAAAAAAAGATAATTATCAATCTACTATAATAATTGTGTAAAATGTTAGTTACGAAATCATGTAAATTGTTTTTCCTTGAATATACTAGATTTGTATTTTGAAATAAATTGTCATTTTTTTTCAGGACCGCATAAATGAACACAGGCAAAAATACCCATACTTACCTGTAAGTGTAACCAATAGTCAACTTCTGAGTAATGTATTCCACCTTATAAATGGTTTGATAAATTTAATAAAGAAAAGTGCTTGTTCCATAGACCTTAAAATCATGTAAATAAACTGTATGTGAAGTTGAAACCTCACATGACTTAAATGTATCAGGTTAGAGTCCTTTATCCCGTCACTTGTATCAATTTCGGCCCGATAACAAGGTGCCGTATATTTTTACTGATCTACGGCACTTGATCACGTGGTATGCATGTTTGCCGGACTACTTTTCAAGAAATATGTAAAAACTGTCCTTAAATCTTCTGTTTGTAGAATAACGAGTTTTGGAAACGTTGATAAAACTTTGTTTGTTTTTTTTATTTCACTCTATAATTTTTCAAGCGAAATAAAATTATTAAAAGTGAAATAAATGTAAAACTTAACTCATTTGCGACATTAAAATAGCGTACTTGATTTGATTGTTTTGCACGTGCTGTTTGGCGCTACATTGTGACGTCACGTAAACAATACTTTAAACGTCTGTACAGCGTTAACGACTGAATAAAAGATATTGGTGTTCGAATTCTTTTTCTTAGTTAGACCATTTCCTTTCATTCTAGATAGTTTTCACAACAAAATTCGACAAAAAATTGTTTTTATTTATCACATTTTTCAAACAAAATGGCGCCCTCAATGTGAAAATACACAGGGAGATAATAAGAACGGCGAGTGCATTGTTGTAGAAAAATTAGGGCCTTCTTTGTTTATATAAAAATATTTCCGATAGTGTGATTAAAGGTAGTTTGCCTAATAAAATTCTTTAAAAAAAACGGTGACAGGATAAATAGAATAATAGATTGGTGCCGTGGATGGAGAAAGTTTATCTGGCGAGGCGGAGGAATTTATTGGGTGAGCCTTCCTCCGCCTCGCCAGATAAACTTTCTCCATCCACGGCACCAACCTATTATTCTCTATATATGATGGTGGATAATTGATTAAAGTCAGTATACCTGACTTGTTTCTAAACCCTTACTCTGCTGGAACTGAAAGTGATTATCATTTAAAGAGCTATGACAGTTTGCACACCGTGAGTTTTACCAGGCTCTATTCTGTTGGCTGCTCGAATTTGATATTTTGATATTTGATATCCCTTAAAATTTAAATGGACTGTTCCAAATATAAAACAGATCGTATCAATTAAACAAATTCAGCTGGTTGAGGTGTGAGGACATTAAAGAGATTGAAATATTTTATAACAGTTTTTATCAGAGATGTAACTTCCTGTAACTTTGTTAATTTCAGGACCACTCTGTTCCCAACAGTTTTGAACCAACTGTGGCACAAGGCAGTTCTGTGATAAGTCAAGATGGTTTTAATGGTAGTAAAAATGTAAGATAAAGTTGTTTTTTCCTTGAACTTTTATTCCCTAATCATTTATTAATGTCACAGTGTCTATTCTAGGAGAGGCGATAGGGGGATTCACCCATAATTTTGAAAATTCACCCCTATTTTTTGAGAGGAAGGGGGAAAATTTTACATAGACAAAGAAGGAAAAAGATCAACAAATGTAATAAATTCTCACTTTTCGATAAAAATCCCCCCTGTTTTTCGAATCCTAGAATAAACACTGATGTCATATTTAATACAGGAAGTTGTTCATGTAGTTTACAGAAAGTTGTTTGTTAAATCAAGATGCCTGTTTGTGTTGGAGATAAATCATGGATCAGCATCTGTAACTTCCTATGCTTACCAACCTCATATAACTTATTCGTCAGTTCTTTGTGTTAAAAATCCTGCAAGTGTCATTATAATTGTTAGATCTCACTTGATTGCAGCATATATTACAATTTCTGTCAATTATTTACATTCAGTGAAATCCTGCAATAATTTATACTTGTTAATTTTAATATACGATTTAAAAAAACAACCCCATTATGATATCAACAGTATGTACACTATTATTATGCTCCCCGAAAAAATTTCGGGGGAGCATATAGTCGCCGCCTTGTCCGTCTTTCCGTCCGTCTGTCCGTCCGTCCGTCCCCTTTTCTTGTCCGGGACATAACTTTGAAACAACAAGAGGTATCAACATGAAACTTTGTAGGTAGATAGATCTCATTGAGTAGGTGTACAGTGCACAAGAACCGTAACTCTGCCTTGCCTAACTTTTGAATTATTCCCCTTTGTTTATTTTTACACTTTGAACTTTGTCCGGGACATAACTCTAAAAGTATAAGAGGTATCAACATGAAACTTTGTAGGTAGATAGATCTCATTGAGTAGGTGTGCAGTGCACAAGAACAGTAACTCTGCCTTGCCTAATTTTTGAATTATTCCCCTTTGTTTATTTTACACTTTGAACTTTGTCCGGGACATAACTCAAAAAGTATAAGAGGTATCAACATGAAACTTTGTAGGTAGATAGATCTCATTGAGTAGGTGTGCAGTGCACAAGAACCGTAACTCTGCCTTGCCTAATTTTTGAATTATCCCCCTTTGTTTATTTTACACTTTGAACGGGACATAACTCTAAAAGTATAAGAGGTATCAACATGAAACTTTGTAGGTAGATAGATCTCATTGAGTAGGTGTGCAGTGCACAAGAACTGTAACTCTGCCTTGCATAATTTTTGAATTACCCCCCTTTGTTTATTTTACACTTTGAAATTTTTCTGGGACATAACTCTAAAAGTATAAGAGGTATCAACATGAAACTTTGTAGGTAGATAGATCTCATTGAGTAGGTGTGCAGTGCACAAGAACCGTAACTCTGCCTTGCCTAATTTGTGAATTATCCCCCTTTGTTTATTTTTACACTTTGAACTTTGTCCGGGACATAACTCTAAAAGTATAAGAGGTATCAACATGAAACTTTGTAGGTAGATAGATCTCATTGAGTAGGTGTGCAGTGAACAAGAACCGTAACTCTGCCTTGCCTAATTTGTGAATTATCCCCCTTTGTTTATTTTACACTTTGAACTTTGTCCGGGACATAACTCTAAAAGTATAAGAGGTATCAACATAAAAACTTTGTAGGTAGATAGATCTCATTGAGTAGGTGTGCAGTGCACAAGAACCGTAACTCTGCCTTGTCTAATTTTTGAATTATCCCCCTTTGTTTATTTTACACATTGAACTTTGTCCGGGACATAACTCTAAAAGTATAAGAGGTATCAACATAAAACTTTGTAGGTAGATAGATCTCATTGAGTAGGTGTGCAGTGAACAAGAACCTTAACTCTGCCTTGCCTAATTTTTTAATTATCCCCCTTTGTTTATTTTTACACTTTGAACTTTGTCCGGGACATAACTCTTAATGTATAAGAGATATCAACATGAAACTTTGTAGGTAGATAGATCTCATTGAGTAAGTTTGCAGTGCACAAGAACTGTAACACTGTCTTGCCTACTTTTGGAGTTATTGCCCTTTGTTCATTTTGACACTTTGAACTTTGTCTGGGACATTACTCTAAAATTATAAGAGATATCAACATGAATCTTTGTAGATAGATAGGTCTCATTGGGTGGAAGTACAGTGCTTAAGAATCATTACTCTGCCTTGCCTTATTTTGAAGTAATTGCCCTTTGTTTATTTTTACTTTTTGACTTTTGTCCTGGACATTACTTTAAAACTATTAGAGATATCAACATGAAACTTTGTAGGTAGCTAGATATAATTAGATAGAACTGCAATGCTTAAAGAACCTAAACAAAGCCTGGTCTAATTTTGGAGTTATTGCCCTTTGTTCATTTTTACACTTTGACTTTTACCCGGGACATAACTCTGATATCATCAGGAAACTTTATAGATTGATAGATCTCATTGAATAGAAGTGCAGTGCAAAAAAACATAACTCCGCTTTGCCTAATTTTGGAGTTTTTGCCCTTTGTTCATTTTTTTGATACTTTCCTGTGTCCAGAACCTTCTCGGGGAGCATCACCCGGTTCAACCGGTTCTTGTTTTTGTAGCAATGTCTAGCAGTTATATTGTTAAAGCAACAAAGATATATAAAAAAAGAAATTGCTTATAGCTTAAATAGATGCTTGTACCATAACAAAAAATCACAAGATATTTTTTCAAACATGTAACATTAATACGTTAGAATTTGGAGGAAATACATCTTAATTCACATTTTACATCTCAAGATGTACAATATAAAACAAAACTTTTTTGTTTGTCGATTATTGTATTATACAATTTTTTAACAATGTACTCACTTTTACTGTTCTTACCATAAATAGATGTATGTGCTCTATTAGTATTATTGAACATCTTTGATAATGTTTGGATGTTTGACATTAAACCTTTATTAAGAGACTCCCTGTCTTATGTGACATAAAGAAAGTCCCCTGGAAGGTTAGGTAAGATAGTTTTGACTGTATATATATATATCTGATATCGTTATAGTCTGGTAAGTCATGGTTGCAAACATCAGTGGCATCTAGACGGAAGAAAGTTAACCAACATTTTGATGACCTTCAACTTTGTTATTTTAACATACGTAAGGATGATTATTCAGGTAATGTATTATACCTCTTGCTTGAATACCAAGTTATTTAAACTGGACTATATAAGAATGTGTATACACTCAGGTGTCAGCATTAGTGTCCATGTCAGTGTCAAACATAATTTGGGGGGGGGGGGTATGGTTGTGGTCTTTAACATTTTGGTGGTATTATAATTTATTGCTGCAATGCTTTTATGTAAAAGAATTTGACAATTCACGTAAATCAGCTATTTATATTGAGTTTTTCCCTATATTTGGTCACTTATATACAATTTTGACTCCCAAAATGGCTGTCACTTATTGCACAGGATGTAAATATTGTAAAAATTTGAAACTATTTATTCACCTGAATATCATAGTAAAAATATAATTAGAATTTTCAAAGGATGTTATAAATTATAAAACATATTTTGTCTTGTAAGTTATTGAGGTTATAGATTGTTACATATATAAGTTACATACTTCTATTTCTTTAATGTGGTGTCCATTTCTAATATCATGTAATGATTCTGGTTTCAGGTGATATGGAAAGTGGTGGTGGCTTGGAGGATTTTACAGAGAGTCTCTCCAAGTTTACCCGTTTTAGCTCATTTAGACCGCTAGCCACATTAGGTTATGCAAGTGATATATATAACAGTTCTAGTATTGTATCAAGGTATGTGATATAAAAACCTGTCATGGTTTTTGCATTGTGTATGAATTGTTCTTAGTTTGTACTTTAAGCTAACTTTCAAGAGGTCATCTATCTACATCTAATTTATTACCTACCTCAAGTCACTGATACATATATATAATATACCAAAATATATTGTAATGTTACTTTGTTAGAAATTCTTACAGGTAGCTCTACCAAATTATCTTTTAGACTCAAAAACTATGCATACAGACAGACACTTGCAGATAATTATGATTAAATAAGTATTGTTTTCCCCACTGATTAAGATTGCAATAATTGGATCACCCCACTCCTTCCTCGGTAGCTGTGGGTTTTAATTTTGCCACATACATTAAATTATCTACATATGATTATAGTGTTATGTAAGGTCAAGTTTGGTTGGTGGTTCTATCCTAATCTTACTTGTTGTTAAAACTGTTCTTGGAGGCACACAATAATTCTTCCTCAAGTCAAGCTGGAAAGTTACCTTATTATTTAACAACAATAGTGTCTGTGTGAACAAAAAAAAATGTTTGTCTGTATTTTAAAATATAGAGTTTATTTACAATATAGAGTTTATATATAGAGTTTATATATTACAGTATAGAGTTTGATCGAGACTGTGATTTCTTTGCTATTGCTGGAGTAACGAAAAAGATTAAAGTATTTGAGTATGGCACAGTTATAAAAGACGTGGTTGACATTCATTATCCTATAAGTGAGATGACGTGTAATTCTAAAATAAGGTAAGAGTTAATAATTCTGTTATATGAGCTAATCTGCTAAGCTATAATTATAATCACCTGTTGCTTGTATTTGTGGAAAAAAATTGTGGAAAAATGGAATGGTGAGATCCCTTGAAAACAGCACTGGCAACAAAAATTAAAAATATGTAGTTGAAAATCACATATTCAGATTTTGTTTAGTTTTTATATGAGAGAATATGGGAAGTAGAAAATCTGTCATTTTTTTCATAGCATTATATACTGATCCAAAAAAGAGTATGTGCCATTTGTTCAAGGGTACCACTTAGATGTACACATTATATACATGTAGTAGCTTGTAAAACTTGTTTTGTTTGCAAAATCGGTCAGCTAATCTCCGTATAAAAGCCCAATATGTTTATTCAACGTAAAAATCGAGTTTCAAAAGGATTGAAAAACTGTACTAACATATCTACATTCAAACTTGGAGAAAGTTTCTTTTTTATTGCAGTAAATTTGTTATTCAGCAAAAAATTACTTTATTTCAAGTAACTTATACTTTCATAGTAATTTGATAATTGTCAGTTTAGCTGATAATGTAAGATTGTAGTTGAGTTTGAATAATTTATGAGCTATTATGAGAAGTAGAAAATCTCTCATTTTTGCCAAAGCATTTAATTTGTTACTCATGGAAAATTACTTAGCCATTTGATAATTGTCAGTTAAGCTGATAATGTAAGATTGTATATGTTATAGTTGTGTAACATGGAGTGCATATCACAAGAGTATGTTGGCTAGTGCAGACTATGAAGGGGCTATTACATTATGGGACGCATTTACCGGACAGAAAACAAAAATATTTCAGGTAAATTAAACATATTTGTTGACAATATAAAAGGTAACAGTTGTCTGTCTTGTTTTTTGGGGATTTTTTATTTTAAAGAAAAGAGAGTAGAAGTTGCCTTCTGGTAGGAATGACCGATGGATCATTGGTTGTAAACTTTTGTCATACAACTCTAGGACCTGCTAGACTAGAAAGCAGATCTGACAGTCAGTTCAAATTTTTTTTAGATTTTAACAAAATCTAGCTCAATTAATGTGTAGTTAAAACAAGATAATATTAAAGAAGGTCCTTCACCTTAGTGCAAATAAATGTTAACTCCTTATATAGTTCAATAGGAGTTAACCAATTTGAATTACTGTGTACACGAAGACGACGATTTCTGTGATTCATTTATAATCATGTGTATGGTGTAATTATGTCAATTAAATCATATTAATTGGTTTTCATTATGCGGTCATGTTTATTTAATGTTATTATGCTACAGGAGCATGAGAAGAGATGTTGGAGCGTGGATTTTAACAGAATGGATCCACGTCAGATAGCATCTGGATCAGATGATGCTAAAGGTAAAGTATAAGTGTCTTTATTGCAATGTTCAAGCATTTTGACAGAATAATACTCCTTTATGACTTATAATTTACGTTCAAGTTTGCATACCACCTGCCCATTGACATGGCTTTGAAATTTTGCACACTTGTTAACCATCATGACCACAACCTGTAGACAGGAGGAGGTAACTCTATCAAGTATTTTGACATTGCCCCTTTCTGTGTCGCCTTCAAAAGGCCACATATAGGGGTTACTTTTGTCTGCATCGTTGTCTGTGTTGGCGTCCCTTAAAGCTTGTCCGGAGCATAGCTCAGTCACTATGTTTTTTTATACATATATAAAAATAGATTTAAGTATGTTCTTATAAACTCTGTGGCATAAAATAGATGGTTATAAAATATATAGATCTAAATATGTTGTTTATTGTTTCTCTTATTGGAAAATTCTTTAATATTTCAGTGAAGTTATGGTCAACTAATGAGGAGAATTCTATAACCAGTCTTGAAGCGAAGGCCAATGTTTGTTGTGTTAAATTCAACCCAGACAGTCGATACCACCTGGCATTTGGATCAGCTGGTGAGATGATTTATATAAATGAGCTGCGCCATGACAAAACCAACATAGTGCATTTGCGACCAGGATGGATCCAGACCAGCCTGCACATCCGCGCAGTCTGATCAGGATCCATGCTGTTCGCTTACCAAACCTATACAAGTAGAGAAACTGATAGGGCACGGCATGGATCCTGATCAGACTGCGCGACTGGTCTGTATCCATGCTGGTCGCAAATGCACTATGTTGGTTTTGTCATGGCGCGGCTCAAATGTTAAATAACAAGTGTCTGGCAGTCTTGTAGTGTATCATTGGTTTAGTGGTTGAAGTTTTTGCATGGAAATTACTTTTCTCACAGTATCCTGGGTTCAAGTCCAGCCAGGAATGTCTGAATTTGAGGAAACTTTACAGCTAGTTAGTCAACTGCTTTGTCCTGGATAAAAACCTGAGAGTTGAATAAAGAGTTTTTATGTATTTACAAGGTATTTGTTACAGCTTAAAATGATTTTCTTTTACCAAAACAGTTGTTAACATCTTGGTTATTAACTTTTACTTGACTGAATCATTTAAGTAGACCTGTCTGAAGATTTTTTAGCCTTTCATATTGTATGTTAGTTAAAGGATTTCATTACAACAGCCAGATTAATAGTGCATGGTTGACAGTCAGTATATATATGTGTGTATATGAAGGTACCTGAGTTTATTTTATAACAAAATCAAGAACTCGTCTGTGTGTAACTTTCAGTGCGTAATTATTGCAATACAACCTGTGCAGAGTAACTCCCTTTCAAAGACAAAGATTTGAGTTTTTTGTTGAGAAGTGTTGCTTTTGAAATATGAAATCTATTTTGAATTTTTACTTTGTGAAGAATTAATACAGTTGTTATAAAGAGTTAATTGCTGTACAGAGTGTTCTTCAGGAGCTGCTAAGTTCACAGAGTTAAAAAAAAATTATTTATTATATTTCAGACCATTGTGTACATTATTATGATCTCAGGAATTATAAACAACCAGTCATGGTATTCCGTGGACACAAAAAAGCTGTTTCTTACACCAAATTTCTCAACTACACAGAATTAGTATCAGCGTATGTATTGAACTTTAGTTCATCTGTTAATTTATCAGCAATTCTTTTAACTTTATTTAGGTCTGTATTGAATATTGGGCTTCATTTGATTGCAGTTTCACTTAGTTTGTTTGATTTACAAAATCACCAAGTAAACAATAAGTATGTGGCAGGGTAGCTGGGTGAGTAATACATCATACCAGTAATCTAAAGATTATAAATACATCTAAAGCTGGCCTTAAATCAATGAATAGAAGAATTATAATACTTCTTGCTTAATCTTGCCGTTGATCATGTACATGATTGTGTACTCTTTTGGTTAAACGTTTGCATGTATTTTATACAGATCAACAGATTCACAGTTAAAATTATGGACCACATCAAAATCTACCTCTGTACGAACATTTAATGGGCATATAAATGAGAAAAACTTTGTTGGCCTGGCAACTGATGGTGACTATGTGGCTTGTGGTATGTATCGAGTGTTTATATATGATATACCTATATGATTTCAGTTAATTGATTATTAGATAAAGTAACTAATAGTATCTTAAAAAATAGTAGTTATGTAAAATAATGATAATTGTCGTATTATCTGATATTCTTTAATTAAATAGAAGGATCACCAGTTAAAGCTACATGCCTCCAGATGAGTCAAAATATTTCAACAAAATCAAACTTGAGAAAAATTTACTTAGATGTTTGAAAAATTATAAAGTTTCAAGATTCAAGTAATATTTTACATATTATGAGGGATTAATGACTGATTTTTCAGTATTTACAACTATATTTCTACTGCGTTACTAACGCAGTAAAGGCTATTTATGCATATTTTGAACACTTTTTTGTTATTTACGTTGTTTGTAAGTTCCATTGATAATGTGTTAATTACTTCCTTTTGGTTACTTTACAATATTTTACATTTAAATACATTTTCAAAATTTTCATGAAAATTAGCATGAATCTGGAGGCGTGCTGCTTTAACAAAAGTGACGGCAAATAATTCATAAATTTACCTGTTTAGCTAATATTGAGAAAAGGATGGCAAGTAACACTACACTATTTGCTATTCAATCTATACATGTTCTGAAAATTTCCTGAAATTTTCTGTGTGGTTTAGTCCAGATATAAAAATGGACAAGTCCATAAAAGAGTTTTAGAGACTTAAGGGTTAATATTTGTAATCATTTAGATTTAATTAATGAAATGATTAACTATTTCCAACTGAGCAGTTTTACAGACTATTGTACTGTTGGCTGTTATGATATAGTTATAACATAACAGTATATTCAAGAATTGTATGAATCAATTGTATAAAATTTGTCTTTTTATAATCCTGATTCCTTGTGTTATTTGTTTTTCTAGGAAGTGAGAATAATTCCCTATATATTTACTACAAGGGATTATCGAAACAGTTACTAACATACAAGTTTGATACAGTCAGGAGTGTACTGGTAGGTATTTTATAGTTTATTAGCTCGACTATTCGAAGAATATGAGAGCTATTGTAGTCGCCCCGGCGTCGGCGTCAGCGTTGGTTAAAGTTTTTTGTAAAGTCAAATATCTCAATTATTACTTGAGATATTAAATTGAAACTTACAATACTTATTTATAGTAACAAGGTTATTCAGATTGACAAGTTGGATAACTCTGCCTACAATATTGACAGAATTATGCCCCTTTTTAACTTAGAAATTTTGGTTAAAGTTTTTTGTAAAGTCAAATATCTCAATTATTGCTTGAGATATTCAATTGACACTTACATTACTTATTTATAATAACAAGGTACATCAGATTGACAAGTTGGATAACTCTGCCTACAATATTGACAGAATTATGCCCCTTTGGAACTTAGAAATTTTGGTTAAAGTTTTTTGTAAAGTCAAATATCTCAATTATTGCTCGAGATATTCAATTGAAATTTAAAATACTTTTTTATAGTAACAATGTACATCAGTTTGCAAAATTGCATAACTCTGCCTGCAATATTTGCAGAATTATTTGCCCCTTTGAAACTTAGAAATTTTGGTTAAAGGTTAAAGGTCTTCAAAGATATTTACTTGAAACTTTACACATGCACTTAGGGTCATAATTGGAGGGTCATAATTGTATGTCACTGACCAAGTTCCATAACTCCATCTGGCATTAAGGCTGATTCATATCCCCTTTTCTACTTAGTCTCTTGGTTAATGTTTACATGCAAGTTTTACATATCTCAATAACTATTAAAGATATTTATTTAAAACTTCTCATATGCATTTAGGGTCATAATTGTAGGTCACTGACAAAGATCCATAATTCTATCTTGCATTTAGGCTGATTTTTCTCCCCTTTTTTCAACTTAGAAATTCATGGTAAAGTTTTGCTTGTAAGCTGTTATCTCAATAACTACTTAAGGGTTTGTGTTTTTTTTAGGACAATTTTATGCATTCACGATAATAAAGCAGTGATTTACTTGATAAAACATCTTAATAACAAGCCTTTGTACCTTTTCTGTCAAATTTATGTATTCATAGGTAATTAGTATTATTATACTCAATAAAACACCCTTGTGACATTTCCTTCCGAATAGTCAAGGCAATACTGTATAATTAGTCTCTCTCTAAGGCCTATAACATGAATTTATAAAAAAAAATTAGCCCTTTTGTGAACTTAAATAATTAAACATTATCAAGGCTCTTTTACTATCAAGCACTTAGAATAGTCGAGCGTGCTGTCCTACCGACAGCTCTTGTTTCTTGTCATTATTAATATACTCTCAGAGCAACAGATAGGTGCGTATTTGCGTATTTACGCAATTAATTTTATAAAATACGCAATTTATTTTTTAAGAGTGCGTATCAAAACCAATTAAAAAAAATAAAATACGCAATTGTCTTAAAAACCCGTGCGTATTGTCATTTTCATCACCGCAAAATTAATCTGTCGTACACTTGTAGTTTTGGACAAATTATATCAATATGCATGATATCCGAATATTGCCAAAATAAATGCTAACTAATCAATGTTCTCCGGTCTTCGACTGTCCCCAGTCTCCAAAGACCGACTAAGCCATATCAATAAAGCATGAGACCGTCGATTTGTCTACTCAGGTTGAAGGTCTTTACAGCCCGGCAGAGACCGTCAATAAGTAGGTCCCAGCTGTATCAATAGACGCTTTGAAAGCAATATAGAGTCGTACAAAAGGGAAAATGATTTGAAACAAAACAGGCGTAAATAATAAAAAATCAGTCAGAAAACGAACTTGTTCAAAATATTATGAAATATAACATGAGCATTTAATGTAAAAAAATAAAACAATTGTGAAAAGTTCTAGTAAATTGTTAATCCTATTTTCTTTTTAAAACAGTTTAAATTTTATTGATATTGAAACCATAAAATTCATATCTTCATAATTGAATACCCAATTGATCTTGAAATCATAGGGTATCGAGTTTTGGAATACCCAATTAAATGGAGCCAATACCCAATCCATAAGGAAATGATGGAGTATTACCCAATTCACTTTTAAAGCTTATCTGTTGCTCTGTATACTTATATTATTAAAGCAGTATGCCTCCAGATTTATGCCGATTTTCATGAAATTTTTTAAAATGTATTAAAAGTAAAATATTGTCAGGCGAACAAAAAAGTAAGTAACACAATGTAAAGAATACTTTAAATCTAAAATTTATTACCAAAAATAGGTAAGAATATGTAAAAGAAAAAGCCCTTACTGCATTAGCCAGGCAGTAGATATATGGTGATAAATACTACAAAGGCAGTTAGTTATTGCATATAACATGTTAATTATTTTCAAAATTGTAAAAAAATTTTACTGTTCTTGAAATTTTAGTATGTTTTTCTCAAGGTACTTTTTCATGTAATATTTTGGCTCATCTGAATATTCAAAGGACATAAATGAAAAAATTTTGGCAATAGTGATACTTGTTATAGTATGGTTATAGTAAATAAATGCAATATTAAGCACCAGTATGAAGAAAATTAGCGATACAAGCAAGTTTTGTTCCTAACCACAATTATAGGTGGTGCTCTGCCTCTATTGGTCTTTATCAATCTCCAATTTGACACCCCAACAAAAGTAAACAAAACCTTTAGGGAGGGAAAACATAAATTGATACAGTATCAAAATATTGTTTGTTTGTTGGATTTTTTGCAGGAAAAAGAGAAGAAAGAGGATGATGCTAATGAATTTGTGAGTGCTGTAGCTTGGAGACCTGTAAGTTACTTTTACTTTAAACATTATAACACGTGTTTCAGCAGATTAACATTTTCTGACTCATGTTGTTTCTTGGGGTGTGCTGGAAGTGACATTAATACTGTAAAGGTCTCCTGGCAACTTCCTAGCTTTGCAGGTGAAGAAAGACATAACAACAACAAAAAAGCACAATACTGTGCAACCAATGAAGAAAATAGTGTACATGTTCTTGTTCATACCAGATAAAAAAAATGATAGTTATCTATAGCCGGTTGTTATACACATGTTTATATTATATTATTTTTATCCCTCGCCGAAAGGCGGCGGGGGATATAGAAATAGTCTCCGTTCGTCCTTCCTTTCAACAATTTTGTCCAGAGCATATCTCAAAAAGTATTTGAGGTATCAACTTGAAACTTCATAGGTGGATAGATCTCATTGAGGAGGAGTGCAGTGCACAAGAATGATAACTCTACCCTGCATAATTTTTGAGTTATTGCCCTTTGTTATTTTTCAAGCTTAATTTTTGTCCAGAGCATAACTCAAAAAGCTTATGAGATATCAACATGAAACTTTATAGGTGGATAGATCTCACTCAGGAGGTGTGCAGTGCACAAGAATGATAACTCTATCTTTCATAATTTTTGAGTTATTGCCCTTTGTTATTTTTCATACTTAATTTTTCACCCGAGTGACGCATAACTCAAAAAGTCTTTGAGATGTCAACATGAAACTTCATAGGTGGATAGATCTTATTGAGGAGGAATGCTGAGCACAAGAAAGATAACTCTTCCCATTATAATTCTTGAGTTATTGCCCTTTGTTATTTTTCATACCTTTTGTCCGGAGCATATCTTAAAAAGTGTTTGAGTTATCAACTTGAATCTTCATAGGTGGATAGATCATATTGAGGAGGAGTGCAGTGCATAAGAATGATAACTCTACCCTGCATAATTTTTCATTTATTGCCCTTTGTTATTTTTCAAGCTTAATTTTTGTCCAGAGCATAACTCAAAAAGCTTAAATGAGATATCAACATGAAACTTCATAGGTGGATAGATCTCACTCAGGAGGTGTGCAGTGCACAAGAATGATAACTTTACCTTTCATAATTTTTGAGTTATTGCCCTTTGTTATTTTTCATACTCAATTTTTCACCTAAGTGACGCATAAATCAAAAAGTCTTTGAGATGTCAACATGAAACTTCATAGGTGGATAGATCTCATTGAGGAGGAGTGCAGCACACAAGAATGATAACCTACCCTGCATTATTTTGCAGTTATTGCCCTTTGTTGTTTTCAGCTATCAGTATTCGCATAGGTTTCAAATCTGTAATCACTTCAGCCATCAGTTTTCATTACCAAAAGACCTCTGAAAATTGAATTATTCTGCTCTACTACATATATATTCTTCCAATGAGCAAACACATTCGGCGAGGGATGGCCATGTTGACATGGCTCTTGTTCATTCTTGTTTCTTGTTAAATTTGTTAACTCATTGCCTTGCCTTTCTTTTACCTGTGACCAATATAAGTGTGAGAAATTTTATATATCAAATAATTGATATATATTGTCTGTGTCAAACTAATAATGTTTGATTGTTGACATTTAACTTTAAAGATATTTTGATATTTTCAGGGTTCAAATGTAGTAGTGGCAGCAAATAGTCAAGGAACAGTTAAGGTATAACTTTGTCATGTTATGCAGCTCTTCTTAGAGAGTTATAGTGTAATTTTTTGTTTGTTTTTACATTGATTTAACACTTGGTTGGTTATATCTTGCTAGTCTTTAGCATAAACTGGATTCTAATACCTACTTTTTAGCTCACCTGTCACAAAGTGACAGGGTGAGCTTTTGTGATCGCTTTTCGTCCGGCATCCGTCCGTCCATCGTTCTGTAAACTTTTACTTTAAATGACATCTCTTCATAAACCACTAAGCCAATTTCATCCAAACTTCACAGGAATGTTCGTTTGGTGGTCACCTTTAAAAATTGTTCAAAGAATTTAATTCCATGCAGAACTCTGGTTGCCATGGCAACCGATAGAAAAAACTTAAAATATCTTCTTTTAAAAAACCGAAAGAGGTAGAGCTTAGATATTTGGCATAAAACATCTTCTAGTGAGTGTCTATCAAGTTTGTTCAAATAAAAGCCCTGGGGTCAAAATTGGCCCCGCCCTGGGGGTCATTGATTTTACCTATATGCATATAGAAAAAAAACTTTAAAAAATCTTCTTTTAAAGAACTCAAAGAGCTAGAGCTAAGACATTTAGCATGAAACATCTTCTAATGGGTGTCTACCAAGTTTGTTCAAATAAAAGCCCTGGGGTCAAAATTGGCCCTGCCCCAGGGGATCATTGATTTTCCCTATATGCATATAGTAAAAACTTAAAAAATCTTCTTTTAAAGAACCCAAAGAGCTAGAGCTAAGATATTTAGCATGAAACATGTTCTAATGAGTGTCTACCAAGTTTGTTCAAATAAAAGCCCTGGGGTCAAAATTGGCCCCGCCCCGGGGGTCATTGATTTTCCCTATATGCATATAGTAAAAACTTATAAGATCTTCTCTTAAAGAACCCAAAGAGCTAGAGCTTAGATATTTAGCATGAAACATCTTCTATAGGTGTCTATCAAGTTTGTTCAAATAAAAGCCCTGGGGTCAAAATTGGCCCCGCCCCAGGGGGTCATTGATTTTCCCTATATGCATATAGTAAAAACTTATAAATTCTTCTATTAAAGAACCCAAAGAGCTAGAGCTAAGATATTTAGCATGAACCATGTTCTAATGGGTGTCTACCAAATTTGTTCAAATAAGAGCCCTGGGGTCAAAATTTGCCCTGCCCCGGGGGTCATTGATTTTCCATATATGTGTAAAGCAAAAACTTTAAATTAAAAATTCTTTGAAAAAAAACAACAAATAGCTAGAGTTTAGATACTAAGCATGAAACATCTTCTAGTAAGTGTCTACAATGTTTTTTCAAATAAAAGCCCTTGGGTCAAAATTGGCCCTGCCCCGGGGGTCATTGATTTTATTTATGTGTATAGCAAAAACTTATAAATTCTTCTTTGATAAAACCCAAATAGCTAGAGTTAACATATTTAGCATGAAACATCTTCCAGTTAGTGTCTTCAAAGTTTGTTCAAATTAAGCCCTAGGGTCAAAATTGGCCCTGCTACGGGGGACATTGATTTTCCTTATATCTGTATGGCAAAAACTTAGAAATCTTCTTTAAAAAAACCAGAATAGCTAGAGTTTAGATATCAAGCATGAAACATCTTCTTGTGAGTGTCTCCAAAGTTTGTTCAAATAAAAGCCCTGGGGTTTAAACTGGCCCCGCACTGGGGGCCTATATACAGGTGAGCGACTTCAGGGCCATCATGGCCCTCTTGTTTCTATATAGTATGAAGTGTCATTTGTTAATGTTTTTGTTTCTTCAGGTGTTGGAACTTGTATGAACCACAGTGATAAATCAGTGACCTCAACACTACCTCTTGACCTTGTTACCAGGGATACAAGCTATTTATAGAACATGCTTAATTGGGGAAATTCTGCTGCTGAGAATTTCTACTATCTATAGAACATGAAAAAGAAGAACTAGAATAATCTAGACTGCTTGGGTTATCCAAAGAATTGGTGTATGCCATAAAGCAAGTTTTCCAGTTTAGGTTTCATTAGAAATATTAAACCACACACCTTAACCTTCATGTTCTTTCTTGTTTTAAGGACATGTAAAATCTATTTATAGAATATTGAGATGCATATATTTTTAATCTGTGATTGTTTAATGAAATCTGCTATTTGTCAACCATTTCAAATAAATGAATGGGGACTGATTTCTGAAAGTGTACAGTTTTTGTTTGACCTTTCATTATAAACCATCTGATAATTTCATATTCACAGCATTGTCATTATGTTAATAGACTATTGTGTTAAAAGCACATTATGCCTAAGTAATCAATATTTTTTTAGTTATTTATTTAAAAATGTCTTTTATATGTTTAATAATGTTCTTAATATTGGATTAGGGTTAAACAACTGAAAAAGAAACTCTGACATGCAGCAATATGTCGTTAAGGCAGCAAAAAAAACAAAGTAGTATTTTGACTTCCATACATAATACTAAATCACTGTAATTATACAAATTGCCAAGGGGCAACAAAGGCAAAAGATAATTGCCAATGAGTAACTTTTCAGAATGTGTAACCAAAAATGGAAATAAACAGTGTTTAGGAATTAAAAATAGCAGCATTTTTGGCCTTAAAACTGATTTTTGCACATACTGTACGATATATAACTTGTTACAGGGCAAATGTACCTGCATACACAGCTGAAATACACATTACATTACTGAGTCTGAAGTCAGAAAATTGTTAGCAGCTTTTGTTATAGAATTTGTTAATTCATCAAATATTAGGTTTATTTATGAAACCTTTACATGTATCGCTACATTCATATAATGGCATTTATAATTTTTTCTATTCACCTGCATACTTGATTGCAGTTGGTTTGACATAAGCACATGGTAAGTCAAGTGTCATTGCAACACATATACTAATTCAATTCTATGTTGATTTACACTTTGATATTATACAGACTTTACTTGATCACAGACACAGTGGTTTAAACCATTATATTTAAACTCTTACCACACTAAATATCTTAAGTGGACTTGTCCATTGTTCAATCAGGACAAAACCATTCATCGTTTTTAGGGAAGTTTTCAAAATATGTATTGATTGAATAGTGTGAACAGTGCAATTCATCATTAGACAGCATTGATGTACCACCTGATCATGGTCTGCACTGATTGCATTTGACATATTCAAGTATAGGTTCAGGCACTGCCAGTGGGTGAGAAACTGTTAGTGTTAATTTTGTTGTTTTTGTGCTCAACCAAATCAAACACCAAATTAGAAAAACTTGACCGCATAACCACCATCTTCACCAAAAAAAAAAGCATCAACAATTATCTAATCTACATTATATTGCACAGTCATGTTATGTTACACTATTAAATTGTTTAAGTCTATTTTTTATGCTTCATGAAAATTTTAGCAAGGAATATAGTCGCCTCATTGCACTTCCTTAGTTCAGTGATGGTTGCCTGTAGTTACTTGTAGCCACTTCATACATTGCCGGGTATCTTCCATATTTGGTAGATAAGGTGTAAGCCACTGGCATCATGGTCACTATTGTTCAAAAGACATGTAGAGTTTTACATATATTTTTATTTTTTGCATTGAAATTCTTTGAAAATATGCAAATAGTGGGAGCATCCATTGCTCCTGGCGATATGTCTTGTTGATGATATCAGTGTTTCCATTCACACACATATATTATGCATAAACACCAACATTCACAAACAGAAATCTAGGTTAGAACTTAAAAATACTTACAAAAAAATCAGGAATTTTATCATGTACCTTTCAGAGATCATTCTTGGGAGCAATTTCTCCATCAAAAATCATATAAATTGCATGGTTTAAATGTTCGTGTACCCACTGATTTTGTATTTGACCCCCAGTTTTCAAAGGTTGGGTTAAAAAATGCTTTTAATGAAGTATAGCAGTAGGAACACTGTGAAATGAAGCTCAAAATCTGTCTATAATATGACTGGTATAATGGCATAATGCTATATTAGTTGTTACTGAACTGCAGTATTTCACAGTAGAATTGTTCTCTACTATCATAAATAAATTTATTTTGTTATCAACATTCTAAATCTTGAATGCAATGTTATATAAATTGTTAAATGCCTAGATATCTTTTTGGCTATAACTAGTTTGACTAGATTTAACTGTTGTTAATTTGTCTTCATACATTACTTGACCATGTTTATTGTAAAATTAATTTTATTAAATGACAACAAAATGTAAATTATTTTTTTATCACTTGTCCTGAGATCAAAAAGTCTAAAAGAAGGTGGAAGTAGAACAACACCATTGTATGACACATACTTTTGTAAAACGAGGACGTTCTTAAGAACTGAAATAATATTGGCAATATATAATAATGTTTAATATGAAACAGAAGTTAATAAAGACATGCATCATGCTTGTAATAGTGGTACATGTAACATAGAAAACAAGTCTTGTCATATTATAAATCTAAAGCAGCATTATAACACCAGATCAAGTGGTGAGTGGTTGACATTTGCAAATTTCTTACCACCAACATAGTGTATTGTAAACAGTGGTTCAAGCAAATGGATTACAAGGTACATATTTAGTATTATTCAGTGAATTACTGAATTCAAAATTTACCTTTTGTTCTCTACTATTTAACATGAATGAATACATATATAATTATATTCAATGGATTACAATGTTTTAAACCATGTTTTATTAATTAACTGATGTTGTTCTGTTGAATTGACTTCATACCCACAAATACTAATAAATGATGCAAAACATAAAAACCCAAATGTTTGTAGAAACTATGCACACAACATGAGTTTTCAATCAGTTTTCTGTGTAATGTCTGATGTCTAGTCTATATGATATGAATGTTACAATTATAAATGTAACCTTTAACTTGCTGGACCCAACAGTGATAAACATTTGTTACAGTTACAAGGTTAGCATTTGATTAACAAAGAATAAGATTTGCTTGATAACATGTCATTGGCAGTACAAAAAGTAAGTTTCTTAATAAAGTATTAATAATTATTATTAATTAATTTATTATTAAAAAAAAGGGAAAGAAAAAAGTTTTTTTTCTGATGATTATATGTATTTAAGGTTTATAACATTTTGGGATGAAATACAAAAATTTGTCAATGAATCAACATTTTAAAATGTTCATTTTTCAAGAAAATAATGGAATGAGTTTATAAGAACAGGTAAAATATTATTCATGAATATTGTTATTGAATATCTTTATTGAGAATGTAATGTGTTCACTCCATTGCCGTTAAGACTTCATGTTTGCTGTCTTTGTTTAGTACAGATAATGAAATGTAATTTATTTTTCTGTTGAGTATTTCCGAATTTAATTAAAATAAAAAAAATGAGATTTTTATATGGACTGTTTTTTTATTAACACTATTTCAAAAGGAAATTGATTATTGCAAAGTTTATAATGTCCTTTTTTCCTAGTTAATTAATCTTTTACTGAGGGCCCATTTATCAAAAACTGTTAATGGTATTCACTTCAAAATTGGAATACATGATTGCTATCAAATTGTAATGTATTTCAATTGTACAGGTAACCCTGAAAGTTAATTTTTATATGCTTGAAGACGTATAAAGTATGATGGCATTCATGATTGTCTGGTTCAAGCTATCCGATTAGCTCAATAGGTAGAGGGTTGGGACAGTGAATCGTGCAACGATGAAACCCTTTCTACGTCATTCGCACTTTACCTCTGCTCTGGCATGTATAGAAGTTATCATTTCCTTTGGAAAGTGAAAGCAACTAATACTGGTAAACTGCTTGACAGCCTGTCCAGGAACGATGCGGTGTCTGAACTGAGCTCTGGTAAATTCAATGTCGTTTACTGCCGTGGTCAGAGTGAAATCTAACAACACCCCCACCACCATGACTGACTGTCAGTAGACAATTTGTTTCCACAGGATAACTTTGGCAGGAGTCAATGATTTTATTAATACGTGCACATATATAAGGCATGTAGCTATGCAATATCGAAACACAGGTAAATTATTTTTTTCTCTATTGTTAACTCATGCTACTAGTATATCAAACACAAGTAAACTTTAATTTTTCTCAACATTTAACTCGTGCCATATCAAAACACAGCCAAATTTAATTTCGTTTGCGCTGAACTAATATTCGGCCTGAAAAGGTATTTTTTAAGCTTTGGAAACAAAAAGAATTAATCACAAGGGGCAAGGTAAGGTAAATACGGAGATGGGGAGCACGACGACTTTTCTGCTTCAGAAAGTGTTGCACTAAAGACGCCTTGTTCGATGACGCTTTTTTATTCAGCAATCTGACATTCACTTGACCAAACCTGTTGCGGGTCTTCGTTTTCGAAAGTATTTGTTTAGTTTTCGAAGAATGTTTGTCTTGTAAAATTGTGCATTAACAGATTTGCCTTTAGGAACAGCAACCTGAATAAAGGGACCCTGAATTGTAAAGAACGTAGCATACGATATCACCTTCTTTATGTTGGGATGCATGGCATTTTGCCAGTCTTTGTTTTTAGTGTTTCAGTTTTAGCTCATAAAAATGAACCAATGTTTCGTCACCTGTGACAAAATTTCCAAAGGACCGTGCATTGTAATTTTAATTCTATTTTAAGCAACAAATTTACGCGAGCCTTTTTGTGCTCATCGTTCAGCAAATTGGGAATCCATCTAACTAGTGCAGATCTTTTTCATTTTCAAATCACGTTTGAGAATGGTATCAACTGCTTCTTATGAGATGCCAACGATATTATTATAGCTATTTACCTAGTGGTGTATCTTGTATAAGTATTAACAAACATCGGTTTTAGACCGAGGGACAGTCGAAATTTAAAACCATAATTAAATTTGTTAAACCAACGAATGTAACTCATGTAAAAGACATTTATCTTTAGTCCATATACGGAACAGATTCCATACACCCTATAATGCCAAGGAGACAACGATTCTTATAAGACGGTATTTCAATTGCATACTTAGATCTTCAACAAACCATTTTTGTATTAAGTATATGAGTAGACTAAGTATATATAGCGGGATATAAACACAGCTTAAGTGAAAGGATTTTAATTGATTTGGTATTTATGTAAAGCTATTAAACAAGCATATCTACCCAATAACCCGCATTTCATCGTATTTTTCGCAATATTGAACAATATGATGTTCTAGATGCATTCATATTTCAACACCCCTCGAACGAAAGACTGCCCCGACCAAGGTAAATCACTTTTCTACTTTGCTTTAATTATACACTATCCAGTACTGAGAGAATAAGACGGTACTGTCTCCATCAATGGATATACATCATATTTTATTTAAGTATATGAATATTCATTCTGGCCCATCTATTTATTTACTGTATATCGGGTTAATTTTATTTTCGCGTACGGCAAATTTTGCGATTTTGGCAGTAATCTAATTAAGCGAATCTTATTTTATCGATTTTTTTTTGTATAATATTAATTATATGTATTATTATACAATTATTGACTAGTGAGCCATTGAATATGATGTGATATTCACCGGCAGATGACATATTGACCGAGGCAATAGCCGAGGTCAATATGACTTTCTGCCGGTGAATATCACATCATATTCAATGGCTCACTAGTCAACAATTGTTTTAATATATGAATATGCTAAGAAATTTTTAAAAAATCACAAATGTACAACATTATATACATGTACAAATTTTACCTCGTTGAAGCGCGGGAAAAAGGACGCACGTGTTAGGCGTGCAACGACTAGTACGCGAACGCTGCGCATACAAAAATAATTCAAGTTTATACTCATCATTCCGGTGTAGCCTTTAAGTATAATAGTCAAGTAATGATATTTTAATCGAGAAATATGCCATAAAGAACAAAAAGCGACACTTATTTTTTTTAATTAACTCGTGTAATTAACAGTCTACGGTGTATGATCATTGAATATGAGTCTCAATCTATTTTTAGACTGGGAAAATCCAATTCAGCCAGTGAATATGATACTACACCCAGTGAATATGATTTTATAAAAAGTTCTGTTGACTACTGTTTGGACCAATGAGATTGCAGCTATATTTAGATCATATAATAATATACAATTATTGACTAGTGAGCCATTGAATATGATGTGATATTCACCGGCAGATGACATATTGACCGAGGCGATAGCCGAGGTCAATATGACTTTCTGCCGGTGAATATCACATCATATTCAATGGCTCACTAGTCAATAATTGTTTTATTATATGAATAGGCTAAGAATTAAAAAAAATCACGAAAAAGTACAACTTTATATACATGTACAAGTTTTGCCTCGTTGAAGCGCGGGAAAAAAGACGCACGTGCGAGGCGTGCAACGACTACGCGAACGCTGCGCATACAAAAGTAATTCAAGTTTATACTCATCGATGCAGTTTAGCCTTTAAGTATAACAGTAAAGTAATGATATTTCAATCTAAAAATATGCCATAAAGAACAAAACGCAACAATTATTTTTAATTAACCCATGTAATTAACAGTCTACGGTGTACGGGTATTAATATGAGTCTCAAACTATTTTTAGACTTGGAAAATCTAATTCAGCCAGTTAATATGATACTACACCCAGTGAATATGATTTTATAAAAAGTTCTGTTGACTACAGTTTGGACCAATGAGATTGCAGCTATTTTTGGATCATACAATAAATTACAGATAATTTGCATAAGGTACCTTAAAAATAATTAACCTATAGCTCTTCAGCGCTTCCTATGTAAAATTCTTCCTAGTATAATTTCCAATAACCGTAAATTATACCATACCCAGACTATGGTATAATTTTCAGTTTTGAAGATCGAAGGAGTAAGAGTTTCTGGGCGGAGCTATAGGTTAAAACAGATACACCATTGGTGCGTTGACGATTTCTGGGTTTGCGTAAATTATACCATAATCACGTGACCTTTCTTATGCAACCTCACTCGACTTCGTCTCGTGAGGTTAAGGCATAAGAAAGGTTATGCAACCTCACTCGACTTCAAAGAAAGCATGCAGACACATTTCATGTTATACAAAGTAAATTAAAAGAATGTAAGAAAATGTTTATATATGAATAAAATATTTTGCCTGTGCTTCTTTCAAAGACTAAGGTGGCTTTTTGTTGCCTGTTTATAACTAGCTACTGACATCTCTTTTTTTTTTCTTTTTTCCAAAAAGAATGATAATTATGTTTTTTATATTATAAATATAAGTACTTGTACATGATAATGTTACATAACCAGAAAAAGGTTAATCACCGACTTGTAAAATGAATAAAAACTTTTAAAAGAGTGTTTCCCATTATGTCATATTGTAGGCTACACGACTGGAGTATACTGCTCAAGCCGGTGCTAGGGGGCGTGAGGGATGTTGCACTTATTCATTATCCCTCATGTACAGACTCAGTCAAACCGAGTCTGCAATTCTTAAGTTATTTTGTTGTGATTAATGCTTCCGAGGGATCACTTTGTTTCCAGATTTTTTTTCTGACTGACTAAGTCGGTTTTGTTAATAGAATAAAATGAAATATTTTGAATATAAGTTAAAAAGTTAATATTTTCAGAATTATAAGACGCAATCACAGATATATCTATATTAAGCTCCATGACTTTAACCTTAATATGTACACCGTAAGTGGTCTATAATATAAGATGACAACAATAAAATGACTGTGTCATTCGTCGAAAATGAAGTATTGATTTCGTGACGTCATTTATCGGCCATTTTCTCGACCCGGCGTGCAAAGCAAAGACATAATTAAATTTTAAAAGCCAAAAACGCTTAGGTTAGTATCATTTCAGATGATGTCAATCAGCAAAATTAAGGACAAAGTTGTTATTTCATATTTTAATCTAATGACATTATTGCCTTTTAACCATATACCTCGATATTGCAGTGTTTTTTTTGGCTTGTGTGGGTGGAGAGTAGCTTAAGGTCTTCAGCGTACCCGTTTATATATATGACATGACGTGAACGCTGAAGATAACCCCGTAGGGAAAGTCCACCAATAATCGTGCCAGGAATCTGACACGCTCGTATTTATTTATCGAACATTCCACGAAGTAAAGTGAAGCATACCTTGATAAAACAATATATAATATGTTGATAAGCCAAGAATGGACAAATAAAAATCTTATTAGGAACATATACTACCTAATAGTTTCCGACAGGTAAAAATTTCGGCACTTGGCCGCCATCTTGCCAAAATGTTTGACCACGTGATTACGAGATTGACCTTTAGGAACCCATGTGCCTCCAATATTTTTATAGATTACTTTTTTTAAGATGTTGAAAAAGGTTATTTACTGACTGTTATATTCAATAAAATCATATTTAAATACTAAAAAAATTATGTAAATAAATAAAAACATTATTTTGAATAAAAATATCGAAATCATGTCAACAAAATGTTCTAAATATAGTACACAACTCTATTCAAATCTGTTCCCGCGAATGACGTCATACGAGGTCTCGCGTGGCACTTGAATGTCATGGCCGATTGTAGTCGGTGAAAATTGATGTTTTACAGTTAAATAGGCAATTTTAATGACGGTATTAATATTTTATTACTTGAATTGGTATAGAACGATATTTAAATAATTGTTTTACCGTAAAATGCACAAGAATTGATCGGGTCAAGTGTATTTGCAAGTGAAAAACAAGAATAAATCAACTTATGTTATTCTGGTTAGGTTTCGTAACGGGTCTAATCCAAAACTTTAATGCCGCATCTGATGAAAAACAAAAATGTTAAAAAGCGGCTTATAAAGTTTTGGAAGCCAGAACTAGGTGGAGAGAAACGTTTTCTGAAAATGTGAAATTTAGACTGAATACTGCTTACTGTAATTTTTTAAAAATATTAACTGCATCCAGTGAGTCAGTAACAATGTAAAGATTTGTGAAAATAAATTTCTCTAAATTAATTATCAGCTAAATTACTTGGGGGGGGGGGGACCGTTCCCTCTGGGTCAATTTTATTTTGTGCCAATCCAGAAAAATTAGCTTCAATTTCTCCAAAGTTGGGATACATAAGTCATAAATTTGCAAGGGAGACGTCACTTTCTCTAAGTTATGCTATTGAGTTATATATCATTGTGATCGCAAACACATAGTATCCTAGTGTCATTAGTTTTGACGCCCTTAAGCTGTTTAACTAGTGCATTGTTTTATATTTAACTTGATCATTAAATAAAATACAATATAAAGTTACTATGGCATGTTGTTTATCACTGCAAACCATTTTTATGTTTGTTATAAGTTCAAAATCACTTAAGTTTTGTACTCAAGTAAACGGACCGTGGAGGCATCCATTGTTGTTTACAGTCATATGAAATGACGCCTTTTCATTGGGTGGTTATTTTTAAAGAATATTTCACTGTAATGCAATATGTACAGCAAAAGAAGTTTTTAAATGAGCAAACCTGTAATGTAACAACATTGTGTAAACTTAAAATTATATTTTATTTCATATAAAACTGCCCATTATTTAGGAATGCCATACACCCCGACAGTGGTCTTAATAGGTGCAATTGTCTCTTTCATCTTGAATGTATTTACAAATAATCTTGATGAATAGCATCTGTTTTTGGCTTACAGAGCTGAAAAATATATCTAAAATGAAAGATGTTGTAAAGATATGTATATGTTGATTTAAGAAATGATTTTTTTCTTTCTTTTTTTAACTTAATATACAATAATCAACCCATTATGAATTTTACTCAGTATCAATTAAAAACCAATTAACGTTTTCAAACAATATAAGCTGTACTACTTATGCTACAGTGAATATTTAGAGCACTTTGCAAAGTTTTGGTCACATGACACTCATTAGACATTTTAAAATGGAGGACAGAAACAGAAAAGTGCAGGTCAAGATTTTGCAAAGGCTGTATTTGCAAAATTAAGGCTTGCATAAACATCGATTGATTTGCATTAGTAAAAAGATGAAAAAATACCATACATATAATTAAGGTGAAGTATTTCAGTGAAATGGCTCTGTCTTAACTACATGTTTTAGTTATATGTTGTAAATACATGCTTGCAGTGCAGTCAGCAAATTATGACGTCATACGAGGTCGTTTTCACAAATTCTTAGGTCAAAACAAAAATGGCGTCAAAATAGATGAGGCCATCCTTAAAAAAATGTTTGTTTGCAGTAACGCGACCGACTCACAAAATTTGCCCCTACTCAAAATATTTTTCATGGTCTGGATAAAAAAAATTTTTTTTTGAATTAGAAAATTATGCCTTGTGCTTTGTTTTCGTTCTTTAAAAGGTTAATAGAAGAAATAAAATGTAGGTCTTATTAAATTAGAATTCAGTTATCAATTTATTAATTGTTACCAGATTATCAAAGCATAATATATTGTCCAGCATTTTGAAATTCCATGTTTATTTGGGAGTACAAGTCAATAAAAAAAAAAAAAATCGACCTACCACCTTGAAAATTCTGGGTCGGGTTACTGCAAACAAACATGTTTTTAAGGATGGCCTGAGCGTCAAAACACTTAACCGGACGATATTTATTTTAGTGGTAAAAAGCCCTGCATAACTTGCCATAAGACCACAGAGTATACTAGCAGGGCTCTCATTAGCATTTTTAGACTGGGGCCAGGATACATGCAGGGGGGTTGGGGGAATTTTTCATGATTTTCAATTTTTTTTCATTCAAGGGGGAATTTTTTTTCGGTACGACTTGAAATTGTGTGACATGTTGGAATGCTAAAAACTGTCTGGAACGTTTTATTTATATATATACGTATTAATTTCCGGTTGCCGTTCGTGGAATATATATTCGCCGATAGGCATTTTCTATGCCCGTAAATATTAATTTCAAGGGGAATTTTTTAGGTTTTAGGGTTTTTAGGTTGGTAGGGGAATGGAGCCGATATTCGGTCCCAAATTTTACAAAACGAGAGCCCTGAATAGAACAAAATATTTAGATCTAAATGTGATATATTGATATATATGCACTGTCATGGAATCAGGTGGTATCAAAGATGCTTCTGCCAGGGAGTTTAAACAATTCATTGTGCACCAAATCTCTTATGTACTCCTACCATTATAAGGCTCCCACGTTTACATTTTTGTAAATGTTTTCACGATTGCTAAAAAGAAACTGTACCGTTATTGCGTTAAAACAGTTGTACTTCTATGCACTAAACTATACCCTGTATTCAAGTTGCCAAATGATTACTTACTTTTTATTTTTAATACACATATTTAAAACAAATAGTGTTCAGGGCTCATCAAAAAGGAGTCTGCGCAAATTTTCTGAACTGTATCTCCATTTCACTGCTTTATAAGATCATTTGATAATCAAATTTACAAAATAAGTATTTACTCTTGAGCAATTAGCAACGTTTTTTTTTTTGGATAGCCTTGGAAACTATGTCATCTTGTTTTTAGTGGGAATAAATCAATTTGAATTGATAAAATTCATGATGACGAAAAGTAATTATAATTAATTAGGATATTTAGATAAAACATTGTGGTCCTTTCCTTTGAACTGTAAACAACATGGTTTATGAATGTATTTTTAAATGTGTAACTTTAATGTCTTGCCTACCATGTCCGTTAAATGCAAGTCAGTGTAAATGAAATGATTCCCTGACAAAATATCAACCTTTTGTGGAGTTAATATGACAAGATAGAATGGAAAGAAATCTAAAATAAGATTTAATTTATTTTAGAATACATTGTATGCACATGTAGATATGATTGTATGATTTGAATTGATTTGTCTGTTACAACAAATACTATATAATGTTAATATGTATTATATTGTCTGTGAACACTGTTTTATCAGTGATATAGTAAATAAATATTAGAGAATTATGTATTACTTTTTTTTTCATTTCATATCTTGTTGATTATAAATCTATATATATTAGAAAAATAGCTTCCCAATTTTCTGGGCTATGATTATGTCTATTACAATCATTTTTTATTTGTTTTGGTCATGAAAAAATAGCATGTACATAAATATAAAATATATTGAGGTCCAGTGACATCCGTCTTGTTACTCGTGTACCAGATGTTTAGTCCAGTTCACTTGCTTGTTGCAGTGTAGGGTTATATCCTGGGTTAGACTATAGGATCTTAACCAGGAGTTTATAATAAAGTATTTACTGTAGTAAGCTCATTAAATATTTGTTGGATGTTACTACATGACTGTATACAAATATAGACTTAACGGGTCTATTTCAGGAGATTGCTCACCCAATATAGTATGATAGATAGCATTGTAATATTAGAAATAAGTTAATAGCTTGAAATATTTTTCCTCATGGTATAATATTTGTATATAATTCGCATATTTATAGTTACTTGTTGCTCTATGACAAATTTGCTATGTTACAACATTGAGTTATATAATATATATGTATTTATGATATATATTGTTACTAGATCATCTGTATGTATATATTTATATGTATATATTTCATTGCTCTTTTCACTGGTATCACCGAGGAAGTTTTTTTGCAAAATGGACACAAACAAAATGTTTTTCAAGACCTTTTTCTACTAAGGTAATATTCAGTATTTATATTGATTTGTATTTATTTTTTGCTCTTTCTTTCTAGGACAGTTTTTTAACAAAATTAGTTTGTATTGAAACCAGTTTAGTAGGAAGCTGACTAAAAGATAGAAGTCCATAAGAAATAACTATTTTTGTTCAGAATCTTGATGGATTGTTTTCAGATAGTTATAAGTAACCATTTAAAAGTAAAGGCTACTTAATTTCTTATGTGCATAGTATTTTTGGTTTCTGCATCGCTATGAAAAAAACAAACAGTTTTGCATAATAAATTCATTATTTTACTTGCAGCGGCAAGGTCAATTTTCAAGAAACTGTGGTTTTTGTGTGTTTTTAGCTTGTCTATGTGGCAGCTGTTATGCAAAAACTTTTGTGTATCCCATTATTCTAAAATTTTGAAAGTTATCAACATGAAACCTGAAATACTCACTTATTGTGTCAAGGTGCACTTGTAAGACAAGGGCCATTATTCTGAAAGCAATATTTTTATTGCTCTGCCTGCTTTTGAATTAGAATTTTAAACAGATGAGTGTTAGCATTGAATGTGGTGCTGTTATTATTTACAATTTAATAATGTTTAGATACAGACTGAGCTTAAAATATCTGATGGCATAAGACTTACAAGGTAAAAATTGTTTAGAAGCAGGGTTTTTTTTTGGCTTATTTTATAGCTGTTATTGGGTCATATTTCCAATTGAAAATAGTATATTATTTTCCCAATTCACATGAAAATATTCCCAATTGAAAATTACAAAATGAAAATATTGAATAAAGAATTCTAAAGTCTTTGAAATTAAGGACTTCTTCGCTGTAAGAGTGATTAAATGTTTGAAGATGCCATCCTAGACAGTGATTGTTTGCATTCATTTAATCACTGCAAAATTTCAGGCATGCATATTTTCCCAATTTTTAACAAAACATCGCTGAAATTTCCCCATTCCATGGGTATGGGTCATGTTCCCAAAATCCTGAAAAAAATCCCTGAGAAGGAAAGAGCATTATTGTTTATTTATGTGTTGGTGATTATATTGTATTATATGTCATTTATGTTGGTTGGTTTTTTGCTCGATTTAGATGTTAAAATAGATCACAATGTCTTGATAAAATATAAAAATATGTTGGACACTTCAAGGTGATTTAAAGACTAAGGGGGAGCAGTGGCTTAGTTGCTAATATCATAATATGTGGATATTGTTTTAAAGGCATATTTATATTTTATGACCACAGTTCATTTTGGTCATTTTGTATGTATATGTTCAAACAATATTTATTATAACCTTTAAAAATACTGCTGTAAAAATATATTGTATTTAATCTAATGAAAGCAGAACGTAATTCTGAAGAATTTAGTATTAAAGATTAAATTTTTATTTTTCTAGTTTCATTGATGAACCTAATTCATCAATCAAATAAGAACTTAATTCTTCACAATATAAATGAGAGAAAGCAATGTTAAACCACTCTGAAATCAATTTTTTTAACCTTACTTTATTAACAGCAAACTTGTGATCTAGGTAGGTGTTCACAGGACCATCAGTGGTCTTTATAGAGCGACCTAATAAAAAATAGAATTAGTACTGAAACTAGTGGTCTTAATAGTGGAGGCAAATAAAGAATAAAACAAAGAATTGGGGTCTTAATAGTGGGTTATTTAGGTGGTCTTTATTATGAATTATTTTATTATTGACTCAAATAACAGAGAATTCTGTTCTCTTAATAGCAGGATTGTCTTAATCCAGGGGTGGTCTTAAGAAGGGTTTCTATTAGAGGGAAATGTGGTTACCTTGTGGTTAATCTGACCGTTACATGACCAGGAATCTAGTGTTAAAGTCCTTGTGTATACGTGTATGTTACTACTGGGGTCATGGTCATGTTTTCTTCAAAAACTCAAGGACTGGTTTGTCCAGACAAGGTGTTGCAAATATTACAGATTCAACTTATAATAAAAAAAAGCATTGCCAGATTGTCACACAGTGTAAATGACTAAAAGTGATTGTTTTACTTACTAATCATAAAACAAACAAAATGGCTCTCAAAAAATTACTTAATTTGATTTTTCTATATTTACTTTAATGTTTAAAATTAATTAATTTTAGTTTTCATTTTTGCATGTTCTATGATATTCAATACTCAATTATTGAAACTTGGAAAATATTTTTTATTTTTCAGAAAACTGTACACTGAGATCTTATGACTGGTAAGTGAAGGGTAACTATGGCAGCAGGTGGTTTACATTTCGGTAACCCTATGGTGAAACAAAACACCTTGATAATCAACAATTTACCTGATTATATGGGAGATGATGAGCTGGAGTCAATGTTTAAAAACTTACGGTACTGTTAAAGCAGCATCTGTGAGAAGGGATCCGAAAAACAAATAAAAGCTTGGCTTTTGGTTTTGTGGAGTATTCAAAAAAAGGGATGAGGGGAAGAAAGCCATTGAAAATGTTGATGGTCTGCAATTGGGAAAGAAAAAACTACGAGTCGCGTTTTCGGAGCCTATTGACGAGGCTATTAAACATGCAACTAAAGTAACTGTAAAAAAACTTCCTGCAAAATTTTCAGAAGAGGACTTTAAGGAATGTTTGCTAAGTTTGGAAAATTGTTAAAAGTGCGTCTATTAGTTGACAGTGTGACAGGAAAGTCCGTCGACTAGGTTTCCTCTTCTATGAAAATTGGGCTGACGCACAGAAAGCTGTTAATGAAATGAATGGTTTCAAACCAGAACAAAGTAAAGACCCATTGAAAGTTAATTTTGATCAGCGAGAGTGTGAAGCCAAAGACCTGGCCTCAGTGGCAAAAGGCATCAGATCAGCAGCAGGTTGGCTACCAGCATAGAGCACCCCATGCATTGACAGGAAGTAGACCGCATTCACAACAGGGTCCGAGTAAATCTATCCCATCGTCATAACACAAGGGCCGAATCCTTCTTGTGTGTTTTTGTACAATATTGGTGAATATATTAGTGAACAGGAGATTTATAATATGTTTGCACAATTTGGTGGACTAAAGAAAATAGACATTGTACGTGATATGAACACACAGTTATGTAAAGGTTATGCGTTTCTCAATTTTGACACATACCAAGCGGGCGAAAATGCTATTTTCACAATGGACGGAATGTTTTTATAGGGAAGACAGTTACAAAGTTCGATTTAAATATAATTGATATAGATACAAGAATGTTTTGGAAACATTAAATATAGACTTGATATATGATCTGCATAATTTCAGTAAAGAATTTTAATTATTGTTGGTCAATGCTACCATGCTAGCATTTAGAGACAAATAACAATTATTATATAAAACCTTATTATCTTGTCATAAAATGAAAACAATAATAAGAAGGATTCTTAACAGGAACTTGCGGTTCAGATTCTGGAAAATAAGACGAAAATAAGGACTATTCAACGCATTTATATTCTAAAATGGTTAATTCTCATTAAAATTGACTTGTGAAAGCTATGCTTTCTGTTTGGAAAGAACTTCATTTTTATACTGAATATACTCGAAGCTGACATATGTGTTTGGAAGATATTAAGTTGTTAGTGTTGAAATTTTCATTGAAGAGAAAAAAATGTTTCACTAATAAAATGTGTTGACAAATTGGCTGTTTTTACTTCACAGTTGAAATACATAGGAAAAGTACAAGGGATCCTTATGTTTAAAAGGCCTGTCCTTAAAATCCCTTTGTGGTATTTACAGAATGAAAGTTAAATGATGCATCTTATTATTTTACTGCACACTTGAAATCAATTGCCATTTAGGCAAATCTGGTTTCTAAAGAAGGCAGATAATCAATATGCAAAAAATGATGATGAAACCTAAAATGGCTATGCCACAGAATTGCTGATTATGTCAGTGACTTGCCAGTATGGCAAAAAGTACATGACTTAAATAACTAAAACATAAAGATTTTTTCTGAATAACATTTGCCATTTTTAAGAAGGATTTAGCCTCTCAAAAACTCTTTATTTTCCTTTTTTAACCTCTTTTTTTTTTTACTTCAGATTATGACGGTGCATGGGAAAGCAATGTCCTATCTAATGGCTGCAACAAAAAAAATTGAAAAAAATAATTAGTTTTTATTAATCAAATGCATGTTTTCATATATATTTTTTTCTTTTTTTTTTCCTCTAGGCAAAAGTTTTCTGAAGGACTGACCAGGAGAAGTTTAGAAATATTTGACATTTTTATTGCACTCTTTGAACCTTTTTTTATTCTAAAAACGTTCATGTTTTTTTTTCTTCTTTTTCATTTTTAGTTGGAAGTGTCTGGAATTTTTTTTCAAGAACTCAAGTTTTTTGATAGGCTGACAGAAACATACAGGTAACATTTTTTTTGTCATTAAATAAAAAAAATCTGACACTCCCCGATCTTTACAGTAAAGTTTACAACGTAATGTCATATGGAGTTAAACTATCGTAATGTGTTTGTTTAAAGTTCCATAAAACTGCCTGTATTACGGCTGTCAATGCTTCAGTCTAAGTGAATCGTGCATCAGTATTAAATGATAATCAGCAGAACATGTTGACAACCAATGATATCATAATGACAGCACTATCATAACGTCAAATTATGAATAGCTAAATCCACACTCGGGCAAAAAATAATTAGCAAAAAATGTTTTGTTAATTCTTCAGACTGATGTTTAAGCAGAATTTCTGAATTTCAAACCGTTTCTAAAACTTGTTTTAAAATTATTATCCTGTACATAAAGTTTATTTGGCCTAACAAAGCTATCCATATTTCAAGTTTTCCGTTTCAAATGTCTGTAGTAGGATTCAACTTTAATTAACAATTTAGTAAAAAAAAATCTTGATATAAATCATACCAATATCCCATTGCAAATTTTGATTACTATTATCCAAGACTGAAATTGAAAGGATTAAAAGTTTCTACCTTTATACAGGCACAATTTACAGTGTTTTGTATGAAATACAAAAATTACAAGTAGCATTATATAAAATACAAGAATTGATTTTGTAAAGCTTGAATTCTTTTCTCGTCTTATTGTCAAATTTGTTTCGGAATTTCGCAGGCAAACCCAACTTTGATTGCCATAGTAAATGTTGTTAACATTTGATAACCATTGATTGTCTGCATCTATTCCTATGATAGTACTGTTTAACTAATTGATTATCATTAATTGAAATACAACTTTTAATGGCCGAGTTGGGAAAACTCTGAATTTTGCAATTTTAAGTCTGAATGAACTAGGCTGTTTTGACATTCGTAGCATTTCCCCACTGATTGGGTGATGTAAAACTTCATTATAATATATATTTTCTGTACATCCCTCATACACACAAGAAACATGGTATGACTCAATAGAGATACTCCGAATCTTGGCAAATGTTGGGGTTTTCCCATCTAATCCTTGGGTACAAATAAATCATTTACACTTGCACCTTGGTAAATATAATGTTTATAACCACAAGGTGATTATTACTCGATTGTGAACAGTTGAGTGCAATGTTAAGCTGTAACAGCAAAGGTTTGTTGGTACCTCGGGATAACTCAGAAAAACCCATATTTGCCAGAGTTGTGGGTAACATCTCATAAACATTTAAAAAATGCTTCAAACTTAAAAAAAACAAATATTGAAAAAACTTCTACCATTCTTGTTAACACTTGAAGAAAATGAGAAGTATTTTTTTGTATAACAATGTGTTTTAAAAACTTTTATTTTCACAGTTTTTTGCATCTTTTTTTTTTTTTCATAGATTTTTCCCAGAGAAGAAAGTTTTTTGCCACAAATTTCTGCATTTTTATCAAAGGATTTTATCAGGTAAATTTTTTTCTTTTTTTTCAATGGTAATAAAACATGTAATGAACACTTGAAATGTCTTATTGTGTTATACAAGCAAATGATATATATAATTTATACAGATATTGTTATGTATTACATTATCTTAAGGATTCAATATAATTACTAGTAGTAGTATGTGTTTATTTTTCTATTTATGAAAAAAGAAAGAAAAGAATTTAGATACTTATTATATATCTTTGACATGTATGTGTATGTAGTTTATAGAAAATGTATATAATTTATGTATACAATTTAATAGAAATTCTATTGTGCATTATGTATTTTATTAGTTATATTATTTGTAAGCCAAAAATTATAATAATATATGTTAATTATACATTATCATGTAATGAGTTAACCCCTAACCTGCTGAATTTCTTAAATGGACTTGTCCAACTGTCATTTTGGGAACTGTTCATTGTTAACTTTGGG